GCGGGCGGGGTGGGGGAGGCACTGTAGAGTGGTGGGGGGTGGCCCAAGGGGCTGGGAGAGGGTCCGTCCCACTCTGCGCCTGGGCTGGGACTGGTCCCGCCGGTGCAGGGTAGCAGGAAGCTCTCCACACACTCACCGGACCTGGGCTAGGACTACCCTTTTATTTCTTATTCACTTTATGTATTCAAAGAAAATAATATTACTATCACTACTATGCAAATCATTGGTTCTTACCAATAGCATACAACAAACATATTAAGCTTAGATGCCTACGTAACATTAAATGAAGACCAAATAATAGAAAATATGTAGAAGAAAGCCATATAATTTAGCCAGAAGAAGATGATTTTTTTTGTCAAATGAAATTCATAATAAACTAAACCTTGGCAAGAATCTAGCTCAAAATTTTAGTCCTTTTCATTTCATTTACATGTAAAAATATTAAAGGAATTAAAGGGAAAAAAACCTTACTCCAACTATTTGCTCCTACTGAATGGACACTCACCACATTCTGCTTTGTTGTTTCCTCCAGGGTCTGTATCACATACAATCTATTTCTACAGCGCAGGCTGTGTATATCTTCATAGCGAATATTACCATATTTCTGCAAGACATGTTTTCAATGGGTATTCATTCATAATAAACATCTACTTTTCCATTTAGAATTGAATCAGACTTCACAAGACTCCGTTGTTTGGGGTCTTGGTTCTATTTTTAGCTACTTTCCTGACTTGTTAACAAATTCTGCACATTTTCACCTCCCACATTTCAGTTTTTGCATATATTTACTGGAGAGAATTCCATCTACTATGTGTCTAAACGAAGAATAAGAACACATAAAATTCATCTCTAAGAAAGAATAATTTTCACCTTTTTATATAGTGATACATATTTAGAAGTGTTCATCATTTATGAAAGTAAGCAAATTTAGCTTTATTTCATGAAAAGCAAATTGAGGCATAGGGGGCTATGTAACATAGCAGAAGTTTACAAAAGTGAGGCTAGATCTTAAATTGTATTCATTTTTAAAGTGAGGCTAGATCTTAAATTGTATCTTTGCTTGCATTACTGTATTACTTTTAATAAAACACTAGAGATATAACTACAGTACCAATCTTTTTAAATGTGCTGTGTAATTATATGTATTGCATTCAAAGAACTTACCTCATTGGACTCTCGAATCAAATCTGTAATATCCACTTTAATATGACTGTTTTTTACATCACTCTCATTTGAACCCTGCTGAACATTTGAAGGCAATGGGCTATCCTTATTAGTGACATTGTCAAAGAACCTATCCAAAAGTGATAGTAATAAAAAAAATTAGTGGACCTAAAATTGTCAAAGCAGAGAAAATAATAGCTAATATCTCCCTAGTTAAGAGGTTAATTTCAAAAGAAAAGACAAGAGCAGGACTTTTGAAGAAGTACAATTTGAAGATGGTTGTGGATTAGGAGTGCACTGTATGGAGGACAGAGAGAAAATCTGTTCAAAAAAAGTTTGGGGTTGGAGGGGAAAGCACAAAGGAAGTGAATAGGCTCACTGTGTTCTCAGCGAACACAACATAGCTTAGTAAGAACGTAATATAGGGGATGTAGGGATCTGTAAGGGGAAATAAGTGAAGGAAGTTATATTGATGCCTTATCAGAAAGTTGTAACACGAGAATGAGGAATTTGCATATTATTCTATACCGAATAGGATTAGATGCAGCAATACAACAGCTGTCAATTCAAATATTCATTCATTTAACATGAACAAATATGTGCACATATATACACACAAACAATTATGCTTTGTTCCAACACAAAATAGCACTCACAAAAAATCCACTGGGAAGATAAAGTTCAACTTGTTTTACTGAAACCACATGGAAACTAGGATAACTTTGTCTACTGGACATTTAAATTTAACAACTAACCCTTTCCATATCAAATTACATTCATATTATACTTAGGACTATGAAAGTCTCAGTATACAGAATCAATAACAATAGCATAGATGTGTAAATAACCTAATTATTCACTTCAAAGTGATTTACGTTTTTTAAAATACTCTTTTTGAAGACAAAGGACCAGACTTTCAGCCTGGATTTTTCATTCAAGTAGGGCAAATTATGTGACTCTGGGCTAGAGAAGAAAGTAAAATAGTGGAATATAACAATACAATCTCTCAGATCCCCTCCAAATTTCAATGACACAGCTTTTACAATACCTGTTTAAAGCTGTCACAGCTTCAGCATCATCTTTACATGTCAGCAGCTTTTCTAAATTATAGTCAAGTATTGCCAATCCGAGTTGTAAGATAGCCCTTATTCCATCATAGAAGAAACAGTCTACCACATTCACTGCACTTTCAATAGGCAGCACACTAATAAAAAGTGTGAGGAACCAGGAGAGAGAAACTGAGGAAAAGAATGTCATATCTGTCATGTGTTCTGTCAACTGAGGAAGGTGATCCCTGATAAGTTCTTCAAAGACTGCCTGATCCACCAAGGCACCTAGAGAATACCAAAATACATTTTAAAATAGACCTCTTTCCAAAGTATTTGTCTCTGACATCGCCTTACTTCTATTAGCCTGCTGATATAGCCCATCTTTTCCCTTAAATTATGAACTCCTTTAAGTGCCTTTGCTGGATTTTTTCTATCTCTGTACTTACTAGTAGAACATAAAAACATTTGGGAAATGCAATTCAAATTCATCCAAAGAATTACTTATTGAATCCTTAGTATAGGCAGAGAGCTGTACGAGGGACTACAATTAACTGTGTCACCTTTAAAGAGCTTAATATCTAGTAGAACTAGAGATAAATAAACACATAACTATAAAAAATACAATCAGTGGTTTAACTAGAATACTGAAAGCTTATGAAGCTACAAAGGAAAGATGATCCATAAGTTTTATGATGGTGGGGCCGGGGAGATGGCTCAGTGGAATAAGCACTTCCTTGGTAAGTGCAAGGGCCTGAGTTCAATCCCCGGTTCCGCAAAAAAATAAAAAAAGAACAGTCATAAGTTTTATGATAGGGGATCACAGATCTCTATATTTTTGATGACTGAAGGAAATGTCATATAATTAACAAGGCCAGATCTTATTCTTTTCAGTCTTGCAAATACCTAGATAATTCATATAACTACAATCCCCCTCTGATCAAGAAACTATTAAAATTCTTCCATAGCTCTGGATGGTTCAGATCACCATGATTGCAGAAACAGTGATTATAAACTTGAAAATTTCAATTTAATTAAGAAACAAACCAGGTACTTTATTTCAAATAATAACATACTACAAGTCTTCCCAATTATACATTTAATATAGAAAGCTCTTTTTCTTTCCTATTTTTTTTTTGTCTTTTTGAGACAGGGTCTCGCTCTGCAGTTCAAGCTGGCCTTGAGCTCACTTTGTAGACCAGGATGGTCTCGAACTTGCAAGAATTTTTCTGCCTCAGCCTCCTGAGTACTGAGATTACAGGTCTGCACCACCACACCAAGCTTCTTTTCTTAAATATAGCAGTTGATGGGACATTTTGACATTGCTTAAATTTTATACCTTTCTCAACCTAATTCATCTATTCTATTTGATTGTCAACTGAATAAACAAAAGTCAGTGAAATTGTTCAGACAAGTATGTATCTGCTATGGTTTGAATCAGTCTCCAAAATATCATGTATTAGAAACTTAATCACTAAGTTCATCTATTAATGGCATCTGGAGATAGAACTTATAGGGGGTGATTGGATCACCAGAGTTCTATCTGAATGAATGGATCAATCTACTTGTGGATTAATAGCTTATCAAGGGACTGGCTTTGTTATAAGAGCAAGCTGCCTCTAGCATGCCTGTTCTGTCTCACCACGCAATGCCTTCCATCACATTATGATACAATAAGAGAGTCCTCACTAGGTGCTGAGCAGATGCTGACTCCATGCTCTTGGTCTTCTCAGCCTCAAAGCATTAAATAAATCTCTATTCTTTATAAATTACTCAGTATGCGGCACTTAGCTATTGTATCAGAAAACAGACTAAGATCATGTATGTGAACAAATGTGAATGCGTGTTTTTCTTTTTACCAATGATTCGACGATTAAAATAATCAGGCAACATTCGTTCACATACAGCAACCAGAAGCCAAAAAGCTTCTTCTTCTTTTGCATACAGAAGCAACACTGAAGTCAAAATGTTCATTGCCTAAAATTCATAGAAAAGACATGAAAAAGTAAATATTATTCAAGTAATAATTGTATTTCTTCTTTAAACACAATAGTTTCCAACAGCAATAAGAATAAGACTAATAATAATTCGAACATAAGATCTCTGAACCAATCCAAAGCAAAACTAGGAAAAATCAAGCTGCCATTTACTAAGCATTTGTCTTCTACAGTCACATTAACTCAAGGAAAATGAAGCACTAATATCAATGATGTGGAACACAATAAGTAAAACCTAATTCAGGCTAATTTCAATGGTTAAAATTACCACAAATCTAAAAAAAAAACCCACATAATTTTTAAGAACTTTAAAATTGAAGATAATAAATAAACCTCATCTCTATTTTCAACTACCTATAGGGGACTATCCTTTTGTATCAGTCATCTGATATGTCCAAATATAAACATCCTTCTCCAAACAAGCTGGACTTTCTTCTTAGTAATGCTAATTTTAAGCATGCTATAAACTTTGTAATCTACTTCATTTTAATGTGTGTGTATATCTTAGGTTTTACTTGTAAAATATCTTTTAAATGCTTTTCCTCTCCATTTCTATAACCACTTTTTGCTTTTCCTAACCTATATTACATGAATGTCACATAACTACTTACTTTTGTACTGTCACATTTCTTATTATAAATATAATAAACCTGAGACAGCTCAGAGGCATAAGTGCATGACTGACATGCACAAGGTCACGAGTTTGATCCCCCATACCACAAATAATAATAATAACAACAATAATAATAATGATAATCTCTCATGTGTATAATTTGGAAAGAATGGGAGACAAGAATATAAAACCTCCTTCAACATACCTGCCAGAAATAACCATTAACAAGTTGAAATACTTTTATGCAGTTTTTCCTCAGTTTTCTCTGCTAAAATTTATACCAAACCTTTACTTTTTCACTTAGTATTATATCATACATTTTCTATTACACTGAACATTCTACTAAAACAGTATTTTAATGCCATAAAATAATATAAAACTAGGATATACAGTACAATAAATTATTTAACCATTTTACTATTGTTGAAAATTTAGGTTAATTCTAATTTTTCAATTACATATGATGCTGCAATAGAAAACTTAGATTAAATCTTCATCCAAGGTTTACTAGAATACCTAGAATTACATTACTTGGTCAAAGGGTATTACTTAAAGATGTAACACAAACTACATTTGAGAAAGACTGTACCAGTTTATATTTTTAGTAAGTAGTACCTGAATATCTACTGTACCTTTGCCAATAATGATCATTATAACAATTGTAATTATCTTTGTTAATTTGATACTGAGGATGGTACCTCATTCTAATTTTGATTTGAGATTGAACTTTTCAGTTCTATTATCTGCATTTTCTTTTGTGTGACTAATCCTTTCATTTCTATTGCCAATTTTTATTTTTAAATGACATTTTAATAGGTTTATATATTAAGTATGTCGATTTCTTGGCACTGTCTTCTGCCACAGTTTGATCTCCAACTGAATTTATCTTATAACTTTCCTCTAGGAGAAGCCACAATGCAGAGTAGAGTGAAGATGGCATTGTAAAAGTCTCACAAAATGTTGTCCTTTATAAAACCAATGAGAACACAGGCAAAAATCATCAGAATTTGTTTTTTAGAATTTTAGAAATTAACCAGGAGCTTATAGCACTGCACTGTATTTATTTAAGAAAATTGCAAGCCAGACATGGTGGCACATGCCTGTAAATCCAGCACTTGGGAGGCTGAGACAGGATTGCTTTGAGTTCAAAGCCACTCTGGGCTACATAGTAAGTATAAGGCTATAAATTACATAGTAAGACCTGTCTCAAAAAAAATGGTTAAGCTCTGTAGCACTTAAAACTATCCTATTCCTATTTCCACTCTCCAGCTTTCTGCTAACTTAGAAAACATGCAGGGCAGGCTAAATAGCTCAGTGGATTAAAGTGCCTGCAAGCAGACACAGTGGCTGGGGGTTCAATCCCCAGACCTGCCATGCTGGCCCATGCCCAGGGCATGCTGAGACAGCAATTGAGACTGGGTGTGGTGGCATGCACCTGTAATCCCAGCTCTTGGAAGGCTGTAAGCAGGCGGATCACTACGCGTCTGATCTAGTAGTGAGACCCTGAAAACCTGTAGACCCTTCCCTAAAATACAAAAAAAAAAATTCAGGACTGGAAATGCACCTCAAAGATAGACTACTACCATGTGTGAGGACCTGGATTCCATCCCCAGCACCAAACAACAACAAAAAAACCCTATACCTAAACCAAAGTATCAACACTCAGCAATCATGGTGCAAACCAGCACCTAGCTGCTCCTGGAGGGAAGAAGATGATTTTGGAGCTCCTTATGACTTGTCTAGCAGAGTCATGACCTGTAAGGAAGCTGCCTGGAAGACTCCAATCCCAAGTCTGCCTTTGACCTTACACAGAGATTATCTAGCACAGAAAGTCTTTTTCTCAGTGGTATTTATTAAAGACACTCAGGTAGCTGTTGAACACTGCTGAGGCAAGGGATAACAGCTGGCAAATAATAAGCTAGCAAAAGATTAAAAGAAAATCTGGGGGTTTTGAAAAACTCTGACAGAGGCTGAGTGGGGGATAGGAAAAAATGGGGAATAACTATTAATGAGTATGGGGCTTCTCTTTGCCGTAGGGAAAATGTTCTGAAATCAAATAGTGGTGATGGATGCACAGCTTTGTTAATACATTAAAAATACTGAAAGGTGAATTTCGTGATATACGGTATATTATAACACAGATAAACAGATATGCCAGGTATGTGTTATGGCTCAGATACGATTTTATAAAACATATTTGCCATATTAACTCAAATTCTTTTTTTTTTAAATTTTTATTTATTTATTTATTTATTTGAGAGAGAGAGAGAGAGAGAGAGAGAGAGAGAGAGA